TACATATATAATATTGTAAACATATGTACATATATAATATTGTAAACATATTTACATATATAATATTGTAAACATATGTACATATATAATATTGTAAACATATTTACATATATAATATTGTAAACATATGTACATATATAAAATTGTAATCATTTACGTACATATTTTGTTAGACTAGTTAATACTTACTCTGTCTCTCCAGCAGTATATAATTTTAACGGGGTGTTTTTTCTCCTCTCGATGAATCACTTCCTGTTCAGATCTGTCAGACAAGTTTTAAAACACTGTGTGTGTGTGTGAGTGAGAGAGCATTTTCGTGTTAGGTCCTGTGACTAAATCTACTGTTAACGCCTCTTTTAATAAGAACATTATAACAAACAGGTTTAAATAATTAATTATGATGCAGGTCTCAGTCAGCTCAGTGAAACATCTGAACAGGTCCTAGTCAGATCAAGTAAACTTTATTGATCCTCAGCAGAGGAGACAGACAGGTAATAAATAAGAACTAAATAATAACTGACATGTTAAAGTGTGAGTGGTGTGATTATTAACAGCTTCAGATATCTATATTTACTGATTAACCCTACTGTAACTGACACAGTGAGCCGGTCTCATGTTTAAAGAATCAGAGTTTAGGTTTAAATATTCTGATTTTATTATTCAGTCCATGAAGGTGTCGATGTGAACATGTCCGTCAGTTTGTGAACTGTGTCTGACTTTATTATTGAAAATATAAACACAGTCTGATGAACACATGAAGCACTGTGACAGGGTTATTATATATTCACAGGACACACTGTGACAGGGCTATTATATATTCACAGGACACACTGTGACAGGGCTATTATATATTCACAGGACGCACTGTGACAGGGTTATTATATTCACAGGACGCACTGTGACAGGGTTATTATATTCACAGGACACACTGTGACAGGGTTATTATATATTCACAGGACGCACTGTGACAGGGTTATTATATATTCACAGGACGCACTGTGACAGGGTTATTATATATTCACAGGAC